ACATCAGACCATTAAAATTACTTCCGTGTGAAGATCAACAACTAGCCTTCTTAAGTGTTTTTTTCCCCTGCTGGTTTTGTAAGTACATTTTGTACTTACATTTGTAAGTATCAAGAAAAATAATGTTTTGTCACATATCTTGTCATGTTGTACCAAACACACCATGGATTTGAACTAGGCTGAAGTTAAGAGATCTGTTTGTATTGCCTCCTTTGTAGATATGTCCCTTATTTTTTACCAGAGGTTTTCTTTTCACTGAATCATTTTCTGATACATACGTTGGAAATTTATTTATCTGAATTAATCAGAGCATAGAAGAGAGCATGACCATTCCCTAGATATTGCATAGTGTAACTTCATTTTTCATGTAGCACAGATTTAAAGTTAAAACAGAACTAGTGATTTTCAGGCTGAACATAATTGTAATTGATAAAATTAATCATATTACCTTTTATGATGAGAAGACTAGATTAAGAAAGAAATGCTAAGAAGTGACCAAATGCAAGCCAAAAATGTATTAAATTCCAAAAAAGAAAATTTCTGAAAGATGAAATATTTTTTCTATGTTCAGTATTTTATATTCTTCAACTGCTCACTTGTTATTTGCATACATAAAGTGAAAGGATGTTAGGTAGAAGGAATGAAAAAATGTATTGTTCATGTAGAGGGTAAGTCTTGAACTTTCAGATAAAAGCAGTGGCTGCAAGTCCAGGAAGGCTTGAAGGTTTTGTGTTTTTTTTTTTCTTCATCATACTTTTCTGCTGATTCATCTCTGTACTGAGCCTTTGAAAATACTAAAAGCATAATATAATGCTTACATTCTTCTGCTGCAAGTATTTAGTAGAGCTGTATTGATTTCATGTCACTTCAAGCAAACACAGAAGAAAAACTGAACCAGGGATTGTGGCTGCATGCTTTGGAGTTAGTCCTGTAAGTTACGAATTACAACTTCCCCTTTGGAAAACATGAATCAGTAAGAGAAAAATATTCTTTGTGTGTGCTTTTTTTCATGATAAATTAGTTCATGATGAAACCCATCCTGTAGCACAGTTTGTTACACAGTGCATGTGATCTTTTAAATTTTTTTTTCAGGCAGTTAGTTATGCTGATTAGAAACATAGATGTGAAAGATACATTTCTCTTAGGAGCTGACGTGGGTGCATTCATTTGCAAGCGAATCTGAAGTTGGTCTGCAGAACTCGGTGCTCTTACATATGTCTCTCCATTCCTCTGCTTCCTTTTATAGCAGTCTTGGCCATGGCAGTAGCTTACTTAGAGTAAACCAGCTGCTCTTACTTGTAGTGTGTCCTCAAAGTGAAAAAAACCCCATTCCTCCTCCCCTCAGAAGGAACACTTTGCACTTTTCCTGATATTCTAAACTGATATATTGTTAATTATTCCTATGTTTATTTCCTCTAATTTCTTTTGCCTTTCTCACTAAGGTATAATATTTTTTCTCTAGATGCTTTAAGATGCTTATCAGAGAGTATGTATTTCTGAAGAACCAAGTGCAGAAACAATAGTTGTTTCTAATCTGGATTATGACTTTGGGGGTCCTGATGATCCATCATGTGAAATTAATTAGTTGTGTGTTTGTCAATTTCATCTTAATTTTATCTAAAAATTTAAAGGGATTTTTAGAGTTAGAGATTACTAGGACTCAGTAGATATGCCATGTTTGCTCATATTAAGTTATTTTCAACTTTTGGATGAGTGCCAATTCTCCAAAAGGTTTTAACATTAGCATTAGCTGTGAGTCTGGAAAAAAAAAGTCTTAGCAGAGTTCTATTTGTATTAATAGTAATCCAAGCTGATAGTAGATGCAGACAGCTAAAGCCTCTTAGGCTGGACACAGTAATTCTGATGTTGTAGCAAAACCTTGGTATACATCGAGTGCATAATTAAGAGAGATGATATTCTGGTTGAAAGCCATTTGTGAAATGTATTAATGAGCAGAACACCTTGTCATTCAGAAGAATAGTGGTTATTCTGATCTCTGTTGCCAAAAGAAGAAAAATTCATGTCTGAGAAGAAAGCCTTAAATAACAGGTCAAAACTCAACTGTGGTCCTCTCCTTTTCCTTCATCTCCTATCTCCAGAGGGGCTACTGACTTTCCTGGGGTGCTGTGAAGTTTCACTTTCATGTGAAAAGGTAATTTGGTTCACTCTCAAATGAAAGTACATTTCAAATGAGCCTGTTTGGCAGCAGTGTTGGGGGAGGGAAGCTATGAGGGGCATTTTGTGTCTTAAGTTCAGTCACCAGCATTTGTGGAGTGGCTAAGCTTCAGAGCGATGTTTCTTCCTATTCCCTCCAGCCCTAGTCTGCAGCTTTTAAAATGTGGCTGTAAAGTTTTTTTAATTTGGAAAAAGTATCTCAGAAGCAAAGGACTCACTGCCCAGTAAAGCAAAAGTAAACTGAAGTATGTGTTGGCATTTTAAGGAAGGGGGGGAAGGAATGAGGCAGGGAATGAGGGAAGGGAAGGGAAGGAAGGGAGGGAGGGAGGTGGAAAGGAAGGAAGAGAAGTAAAGAAAGGAAGATGGGGAGGGAGGAAGGGAAGGGAAATCCTTAATATCTTTTAAAGGTGTGAAATCTTGACAGTCTTTTCTTACAGTCATTTTCTGCAGTTACCTAATGAGAATCTTTCAGGTCTTGATAACATGCCATGACAACAATTAAAACAAAATACACCTTTCAGTTCCCAACCAGGAAATTCCTCCAAAAATCTCAAACACAGTATTTTGGGGAAGAGTATAAGTGTATTGATGAATAAGCAATATGCAGAAACGTATCAAAAAGCCCTATTTAAGGTATTTGGTCATATTACTTCTGCACACAAAACTGGTTTAGGACTCCTTTTGTGAAATGATAGCGTAAATCTTTCATAGCTACAAATCAATTTAGAGTCTGGACTAGGATGCTACTGTTTTATAAAAAAAAAATATTTTTCATTGTTGCTTTCAAACATACCAATATTATTTTGTACTATTGGGTAGACAGCTTTGAGTTGACGAGAGAATAATTCCTAGAGCTGAGATATTTTTGCAGTTACAGAAGGAGCTATAGAATCTCACGAAAATGCTGTTACTACCTTGCTGAAGTGCCATGGAAGTAATCTCTGTGTTTACTTAGTCCTTTTTATTCGGAAGGCTGTGTGTGAATTTCTGTGGTCATCAAAGGTGGTGTTTGTTCTGACAAAAGCTGGACAAAAAGGCAGCCCAGGAAAGCAGAATATCTCTGTGCTGTGCAGCCAGGTCCTGCCCTAACAAGGAGAATGCATTGTATCTTGTGATGCTTTCCTGCTGCTTGTGGCAGGTGAGGGGAGATATGCTGGACAGGCCCATAAGGTGAGAGGAGCAGCAGTTTATCTGTGGAAATCAAAACAATAGACAGTGTTTACTGTCTGCTGGCTCCAGTCTTTCCTCCCTCACTGTTAAGTGGGAGTTAAAACCCATCTAATGATGGGGTGAGAATGATTTATGTAGTTTGCTGTGGGCATACCTTCTCCGCAAACAGAGAAGATCTTCTGCATCCTGGTGGGTTGGAGTGAGAAGTGGGGACTTCTCTCCTTTGCCATAATGTGTCTGGAATTCAGCTAGGTAGGCTGTGGGCAAAATTAAGATTTTTGCCATTTGGCGTGTTGTAAGGGTTCGTGTTCCGAAACTCATCTGAGCTGGGAAGTGAATTTAGAAGGACAGAATTTGGCAAGGGGAGTTGAGGTCACCCAACTCTGGTGAGCAGGGAAGCAGCTTCCTGTACGTTATTTCCCACTCTCATTCATCCTTCCCCCTTAAAACTTCAAAGAGGGGCAGAATCCCAGCAGGGACTGCACTGAATTGCATCCACTGATGGCAGGAACAATCAAGGAACACAGTATGGTTTCTATTGCTAGGTTGTGTTTCCAGGTGACAGTGAAGTTGCAGCCTAATTAAACCACAGTCCTTGTGTCTCTATGTGATTGGGACAATTGAGACTAGCTCTTGGTGCTATTCAAATGCTAGTATAATCTGACAGGTGCATTATGTCCATGCCCGAATCAAAGAATAGTAAAGGAAAATATCAAACTACCAATGAACAGGAGTTGAAACCACAAGAAATATTTCAATTATTGTATTTTGGACTTCTTGAGCGATTTTGGGACATAAAGAACTATGAATATGTATTGAAACCCTAAATAATACTCATTTCCAAAATAATTTTTTTTGTGAAATATAGAGTGAAAAGTGAGGGAAAAAAATTTGGTAGTTTTAAAAGTTTTATTTGGGGATGATCTAAGCTGAAATTGATTTGTTAATTATAAAACTTGGTGACATAATAAATCATGTTAAATAAAGACAAATATGAATTTAAGTTGCTCTTAGCTGTAGGGTTACCTTCACTCTGCACGTTATTTAGCCTCTGCTACATATTAAGGGAATAATTTGTATATTTGTTATTTAACTGTAGCAACTATGAAAGTCATGGTATATTTCCAGTGGTACTGTTTGCATTATAATACTCATGAAGATAATGATTTTAAAACCTCTTACTAGTTCCTGCTTTTCAAAATACTCCATCTGTGTTAATAGTTGTATTTTACTAAATTTTCCTTTGGTTATCTGAGTGGACTACTTCAAGTCTGGAATGGGTGCTTGTGAAAGGTATGGCACGACTGTACCTTATACACATTGCTTCTAAATGTCCCATGAATTAATTGTAGTATCTGAATTAATTTTAGCTGTAGTAGTGCTATAAGTTTTTGTTGACATTCTTTGGTATTGTAATCAAACTACACAATATAATTTCACGTCATGTGTGTAAAAATCACGTAACAAACTGAGTAATCTCAGATTCATTTAAAATTAATATGCCATTTAAGTAATATGCAATCTACTGAACTAATGTCAAAGCAGTGTACACTAATAATTGATCCCCAGCTTTATTTAGTTGCTTTTGTATCGACATTTTAACAGTTAGAAATGTAAATAAATACTTCTTCATTGTGTTTTCTTTTCTTCAACAGGATACTACAAGTATAGAAAAAATGTCAAACTGTTGTGAAGACATGTAAGTTCTGTAAAATTTTTACATTGATGAAATGCTAAAGGAGTTGCTGTTATTTGAAACTGGGTGAGAGAGTAAAGGAACTGAAGGCACTTTGTTAACGTGATTCTGCATGGTAGTGTGCCTTGTACTTCCTATCTTTAGCAGCAGCTCACTAATCTTTTAGTATTGGTTGTACACAAAGTAACCTCCCTACGCAAACCCAGTGGAACTATATTTTCTTTCAAAAGTACAGATCAAAATATACTTTCTGCTGTGTTTTGGCATACATTTCATTGATTCTGAGGTCTCCTCTGCTTCAAACGTTGCTTTTGTTTCATTGATGACCCAGATAGTTTCTGTTCTCCAAAGTTAAGTCTCAGCTGCATGCCGTAATGAAAGAAAAGTTGTATTTGTGACGCTGAGACACAATTCATCAGAGTCCAGAAATGGATCCCCAGCCAACCTACATTGTTCTAGCTGACTGAAGTGCACCGTGGGCATGCTGTCTTTCACTAATAATGCTGTCTTCTGTAGGTCGAGGACCCGAAAGCCATGGCAGCAGACCTTCTCAGAAGTTTTTGGCACTCACTGGAAGATCCTGTGGTTTATTCCTTTCAGGCAGAGGCAACCACTGCGAGTTCCCTACCACTTTGCCAATCATGTCTAAACAGATGGATGGTGGGCACAGATGGGTCCTCCATGCTGGAAGTGCGTTACAGGTTTTATGATAATAGGACTATGACAGTCTTAAAGTCAATTAAAATCCAGTTGTAGGCATCACAATGTGCCCCAGGCATTATTTTAGTTGTGGTGTTGATTCTGTTCTGAGATTAATGCAAATTGATTGTTTAACTTTATGCATATTTAATTTCAGATTAGCTTTCCAAAGAAATTTCTTTTGGTTTTGAGATTAATACCAAAAGCAAATGACTGAAATGCACTCTTCCTCTATTTGTTTGATACTGGCTCTTTTTCTTTTTTTTACCTTTTTTTTTTTTTTTTGTAGGAAGCACTGAAGTTTACATTCATGGTTAGATTTCTCTCCAAGTGTCTTATTTTGCCTTGAATTTTTTTTAGTGTTTTTATCAGCAGGTCTGTCTAGATAATGTCTTTTTTTTTCTGCATGTGTTGAACTGATACTGCCAGTTATTTATGATATGCAATAGTAATCCTGCAGCACCGTACTATAAAAGGCAGCATTTAAAACTGAGGCAGACTACTTCCTAAACCTTTCTCAGAGAGGTTTTTATAAATACACATAAATGTGTATGTTTATATAGAGAAGTCTTACATCTTACAGTTATCTTTTGGCCTAGATATGATTTTAGTGAAAATTATTCATGTCTCTATGTCAACAAGTGGGATTAAATATTCCAGGGTAAACTGTCCAGATAGGAAGTGTGTTTTCCCTATATCCCAAGGCTTTATTTGCAATAATTCAACAAAGAAGTTGCATGGTGCAAATACTGGAATGCTTACTTTTTAAAAATGCAGATGTAGTTAGTTAGCATAATGTACCATAAAAAAAGAGTATATTGTCAATAAAGTTATAAATTTTATATTTTCTTTAGTAATGATTAGCTGGAAGTCTGAGTGTTTGTATATTGGAAATACAAATATTTAAAATATTTACACATAAATATAGATTTGTTACTAACGTGTTCAGTGAAATATACTAACTCATTTAATAGGGTATTGCGTTGATGTAGATAACTTGTTGTTCCTTTAAGTATGGAAGTAGTTAACCAAAGAAAGCATCCTTCATATCTGGTAAAATGACAACAATTGCCAAAGTACTGGTTCGGCCTTTCTGTATCTGGAAAAATTATGTACTTATTTTAGCCGTCTGTATCTGTACAAATATCAACATGAGATGATTGTGGAAAGTACTGTGAATTTCTTCTAGAAATTCAGTGGTTTTAGTTATGCTGCTTATGATGTTTGTTGCATAGTCTAACAGGACTAGGATCCACCTTAAATGGCAGCCATGCAACTGGACACAATAAAATATACAAAATCAGGATTTAATATATGTAGGTTGTGTAGGAAGTAATACTTTATTTATGAACAGTTCATCAAAAAATGAAGGGCAAGACTTGTCATGAGTGGTGTTTGTAACAAATTTTAAAAGACTCATTTGTAATGCAGTTTCTGCCAATGTTAGAGGTCCCTTTATTGAATTAACAGATTTTGATGATCCACTCACTGGCAGTTCCAAAGGGTGCATCTTAAAAATCACTTGAATTTTAAACTTTTGTAAACTTCTAACATTTGATCCAACTTTACTTTTCCTCTCTTTTTAAAAATAGATGGATTGTTTTATTGTTTTAAATTTCAAGCCTAATGTTCAACCATTTTTTTCATCCCAGTTTTAGTGAGCCTAGACTTTCTTTAAGGTGGTATTGGCAGCAATATTTAAACAAAAGACTGGGACAGTGCTGGAAATCAAAAAGAATGTGGATACACATAATAAAGTAATGGCTGTATTCTCTCCCCTCCCCCCTTCTCTTTTTTTAAGGAATACCACTATTATAGTCTCTGGTATATACAGGGGGAATAATAGCAGTTTCATTTCCCATGCCAGTATTTAAATGAGTGAAACACAGAAGCTTTTTAGAAGATTTTTCATGCTAATCAGTTATCGTAGTTAGCAGATTTTACTGTTCTGAACCTTATTCTGAAAGAGGATCACGAATTTAACTATTTTTTTTTTTACATTTACCGTGGGGACATATAATTGTTTCCCGGCGTTACCGTATTACCGAAACAGTGCCTGGAGCACCAAACCTGCCGCACAGAGCGCGCCCGACGGCGGGAGCCTCGGTGGCGAACAGAGCGCTTGGTTCGTGCGCCCGGTGCGCAGCCGAACAGCGGGGCGCTGCAGTTCCGCGGGCTCCGGGGGGATGGAGGATCCGGGAGCATCCCGTGTCCCGGGGGCCGGGCACGAGCACGCGGCGTGGGCACGCGCCCCCTGTCGCCAGTTGCCCGTCGCGACAGCGGCGATGCGCGGCCCGAGAGGGGCGAGGGACCGCTCCCCGGGAGCCGAGCAGAGAGCCCTGGCCGTGAAAACCTTGCCCGATTCTCCAAACGAAATTCTGGAACGAAAGTGTTGTTTTCGCAGATTCGCGACGCCTCAAATGTTCCTGTATTGGATTTTTCTTTTTTTTTCTTTTTTTTTTTTTTTTTTTTAAATCTGCTTTTTCTTAGCCTCCCATCCATCACAACATTAGGAATCAATATGTAATACGATTAAGGCTGCTAGGTCTTTTCTGCCCCTTTTCTCGGTATTTAGAGAACAGAAGAGAGAATTCGGAGGATCTTCATATTTTAGGAGGTACTGAACTGTATTCTTTGAATGAGAGTCCTCTAAGAGGGTAAAATGAATAAATTTAATTTTTTTTTTTTACATTAACTTAATGACCATATCAGGTTATTAGTTTATCAGAGTAATGTTTCTGAAACTGATTCTCAGAAAGAGTTGTTCCATCAGAAGAAGATCAGGTGGACTTTTATGATTTAATTTGAAATTCTTGAATCCATTGAACCTTTCCTTTGAAATCCCACTTCTTTCCCTCCAGGTCTCCTTTATGATTTTTTGTTTTAGTAGAAACTGCATTCGTCGTATTGATTAATGTTTGTCATTGTTAGGCATTTTAAAAAACTTATGGACAGTGTTACTGAATTTCATCCTAATATAATATCAGAACGACACATGCTTCATTGAGCACAATGGATATTAGCTTCTGACTTGGCAATGTTTGATTTCCTGAGAGGCACAAAGAGAAGTTAAAGAACGAATTAAAAAGCCCCTGGAAACATTTGAGAGCAGCTAGTTTATTTGCTGTGTGGGGTAGCTCCTGGTAGGACCAAAAAATGCTACCTACCTATCTTCTCGTAATATCAGGGATTGGAGATTCCATTTGAAAAATCCCCATGTCTATAATAAAAGATAATGCATTAAAGAATGTCTATGAACCTGTCCTCAGATGTACTGCTTTGAAGTAGAGGTTCCATCTCACAGCTACTAGGGTAATTCAGATACACAGTCGTTTTCAATCTTGAGGAGAAGGAACTAAGAACCAATTTTTAGGATGGAGTTTAAACTAGGCAGCTTACTCCTTGTTATGCATCTAGAGGGGGCAGACATGACCAGAAGATTCATAAAAGCACAGAGAAAATGGAGATGGGCCAAAAGTGTTGTTTTGATTTGATATCAAAGTTTACCAGTTGAAGTCATTGCAAAGAGCAGGAGTTTCTGTCATACATTTGAGGATGCTATCAATTATATGGATTACTTAACTTGGCTATTTCCACTTTTGTGTTCAGTATGCACTCAATTTCACTGCAGTTCACTGGTAGGAGGCCAACGTAGCTTCATTGGAGCAACACAAATAGAGTTGACTGTTGGCAATTTTCTCAATATCCCAACTGGAAATATCACTGCATTCCTTATTTTTTTAATGTTTTTTTTGTTTTATTTGTAGGGTGTGGTCTTGATCTTTCTGGACAAAGATTGGTGCTTATTCTACATATATTCCCATCAATAATACTGGATTAGCACTTCTAAACTATTCCTAAAATAAAATCTAAGTGCCCTTTCTGAATAAGAGCTGCATAAAACAATGCAGATCTTAATTAGTGCCACCTAGTACTTCTCATTCTCTCTTGTACTTCTAAAGTACAAGCACAAAAATTATTTTTTTTAGCATTGTGTATAAAAATTCACTTTTATTCATAGTCTTGTAACTGATTGAAAGTTAACTGTCAGAAGACAAGGGTACTGTTCTGGTTTTTGCACTTCAGGAAACTGCTAGCTTTAGTTTAACTGGAAAATCTCATATCTGGCATTAAAGTCTCTAGAGAAAGATTTGAATCTAATTAAGTGATCCGACTGAGCGTTTTACCTGCTCACCACTGCTGATAAAAATCATCTTAAACAAGTTTGTATATACATAGTGCAAGCCCAGTGTACACGTTTCTCAGGGCCTGTCCCTTCTCAGTCAGACCATTTCCCTCTGAAAAGATTTTTCTTTATTGCCCCCAGTATAAATCACTGTTAGTCATGCCTGATAGCCATTGTGTAGCTGTCTGTTAGCTCTTACCTAGGCTGAATGAGTAGTGGGCACATGGTGTGCTGGTGTGCTTCTTGAAGTCCTGGTAGACCTCAGCTTACTGCCTTACAACTGCATCAGGTTAGTCGTCAGGTAAGAGGTAGATACTTACTTGAGATTATTCCTTGATGGCCCTTAGATCTTGTGCTTAGATTTTCTGCTGTGCTAACTAGTGTGAATCCTTGAAGGGCCTTTGAAATTAAAGGTCCCAGATCTCCAGAAATTTTGCACTTTATTTTAAGCAGATGACTTAAGCCTCAAGTTTGGCTTAATTTTCCTGCTCAGTAGTTGATGCTTGGCATTAATGACATGATGCATTTTTGTGTTTCACAGGGAAGGAGTTAGGTTTAAAAATAACTTCTGTCAGTGGCTCAGAGGCTGAACCTGTTGGTAGAGTCTCACAACAAATCAGGTGATAGTCACTTCTCATTCAGTTCCAGACCCTTTGTCCAAAGTATTTGCTATTTGACACTCAGTGTTTCCATAACATGTATATGTGGTAGGAAGGTTCAAGACAGTGCAAATGAGAATGTTTTCAATAAGCATTTCTTTGTCCTGGAAAGAAATTCTACTTTTGAGCAATTTACAGTTACGATTTCTGTAAGAGATCAGAGCTTTCTTGGTTGTATTTGAGTCTCATTTACCCAGACAAAATCACTCCTGTTGTTATTCATTTTCTACCTTAAAGTTACTATCTAAAATGGCTTTTTTTTCATTTCTCTGCTTACTTCCAATTCTGATGGCTCTTTTTCTCTCTTTTCACTGAGCACACAGCAGCACAGTCCTACCTGCAGTTATGTTCATATCATCTTGGCCAGAATTGACAGTGAGATAAAGTAGCCTAGGAAGGTGTTGAGATATGGAGTATTGGTTTGATTTAATAAAAAAAAAAAAATTATATTCCAAATCCCTGGTTCCATTTGGGTTTGGGTTGAGAGCAAATCATCAGTTGCTAAGACATCTGAAAATTTTTATGGATTGTTTACACTAAAATATGCAGAAGGAAGTTGTCACACCTTTTAATTGGTTTTGAAGAAGTACTGCACCTTTTTTTTTCTGTAATAAAGCACAGCTTGAGCTTTTGGTAACCTTCAGCATTATTTTGTGTAAAATTCAAGTTGTTTTTATCTTTTTATTGCCTGAGTCAGTATCTCCTAACCTAAGCCAATACATGCAGAGTTCTAGTGCTGCCACAGGTACATTTAGCAGCAGGAGGTGCATGGCTCTTGTGCCAAAAACCAGCTTTTTAAAGCTGGTCCAGTTGTGTCTTGAATTCATATACTTGGAATTTTAAGAATAAATCGAATCTTCTATGCCTCAGTCTTTATTAATTTACATAACTGCTTTAAAATATGTTCTCAGCTGTTCTTCAGATATTCCTGTTAATTTATTTTGATTCATTATTGTATGAACACATGGTTTATAAAACACTAAGTGGGATGTCTGTGTCATGGCTTAATCCAACCCAGCAGCTAAGCACTGTTTAGCTGCTCACTCACTTCCCCCCAAATAGGATGAGGGAGAGAATTGGAAAAGTGAGAAAACTCATGGATTGAGGTAAGGACAGTCAGAAGGTTTGATGGATAAAGCAAAAGCTGTGCATACAAGCAAAGCAAAACAAGGAATTAATTCACCACTTTCCATGGGCAGGCAGGTGTTCAGCCATCCCCAGGAAAGCAGGGCTCCAGCACTCATGACAGTGACTTGGGAAGGCAAACGCCTTCCTCCTTGCCCCAACTCTGTATGCTGAGCATGACACCGTGTGGTATGGAATATCCCTGGGGTCAGTTGGGGTCAGCTGTCCCAGCCATGTCCCCTCCCAACTCCTTGTGTCCCCCCAGCCTCCTCAGTGGTGAGGTTGTGTAAGGAGCAGAAGAGGCCTTGATGCTAAGTGCTGCTTAGCAGTAAGGAAAACATCCCTGTGTTATCAACACTGTTTTCAGCACAAATCCAAAACATAGCCCCCTATTAGCTACTCTGAAGACCATTAACTCTACCCTGGCCAAAACCAGCACATAATGACAAACCACATTGTCATTCACATTCAGAAGAATTCAGGATAATTCAAGATTCATATTATCATGTTTGGTTGATGAGAAGCTCAAAATGACCTGATAACGTGCACTTGTAGCCAGCTTTATCCTGGGCTGCATCAAAAGAAGTGTGGCCAACAGGCTGAGGGAGGTGATTTTACCCTGCTAATGATTTGAATCTAATTCTAAATTAGGCAAAGTCTTAGGACCTCAAAAGTGTCTGTGTGATGGTGAATGATGCTAGGAATTGCTTTTGGGAAGAGTAGGTACCCCTAAATACAGTGTCCATACTTAGGTGACATGCTGCATAACTGGATACTTCAGAAAGTGTTCTTCAAAAGATTTTTGTACCACTTTCTCAGCCATTGAGCTTTTAAATTTCAAGAGGCATTGAAATAATTGTATCTGTGGGCTGCATTAGGCCTAGGAACTTAGTTTTGCTGAAATTGTGCAGTTGCATCTTGTGTCTTGTCCAGACTATGGTGTGGAGCAATTAAAGCCAGTTGTTGCAGCAAGGGCCATCTAAGTATCACCTGTATAACTGTAAGAATAGCTTATATTTACAGTAGAACATGTGCTTTTCAAGTTAGAAAATAGGAAACTTATAATTTATGTGCATTTCTGGGTAAGTATTTCTATGCACATTCCCAAGACTGATATCTGTAGATCACAGTGTAGCCTATAGACAGAAAATTATCACTCTATCTACTTAACAAATAGCAAAATAATACTGATTTTTGTAAACTAGCATTCTGAATTTTGTAGCTCTCACATGGGCATGTGCTTGAGTTTTACTAATTTGTTGTTAGTTTGATCTTGACTGTTTTCAAATAATGCTGAATAATGTTCATACTGGAGTTGTTGAAAATTACAAGATCTAGCACTGGTTATATCTGAATGGGTAATGTATGAGATGAATGGTTGAATAATATCAA